GTGATGCTGAGATGAGGAGATGGTGATGGGGACATGGGGAGATGGTGAGGGGGTGTTTGGGGATGGGTGATGCTGAGGAGATGGTGATGGTGACATGAGGAGATGGCGATGGGGTGTTTGGCACTGGGTGATGGTGAGATGAGGAGATGGTGATGGGGAGATGGGGAGATGGCGATGGGGTGTTTGGGGATGGGTGATGCTGAGATGAGGAGATGGTGACGGTGACATGGGGAGATGGCGAGGGGGTGTTTGGAGGTGGGTGATGGTGACACGGAGATGGAGATGGTGACATGGGGAGATGGCAGCAGTGAGATGAGGAGATGGGTGATGGCTGACGGTGACACGAGGCCACGGGTGCTGGGTGACGGTGACATGGGGAGATGGTGAGGGGGTGTTTGGGGATGGGTGACGGTGACATGAGGAGATGGTGAGGGGGTGTTTGGTGCTGGGTGATGCTGAGATGAGGAGATGGTGACGGTGACATGGGGAGATGGTGAGGGGGTGTTTGGTGCTGGGTGACGGTGACATGGGGAGATGGCGATGGGGTGTTTGGCGCTGGGTGATGCTGAGATGAGGAGATGGTGATGGGGAGATGGTGACAGGGTGTTTGGGGATGGGTGAGGGTGACACGAGGCCACGAGCACTGGGTGATGGTGACATGGGGAGATGGTGAGGGGGTGTTTGGTGCTGGGTGATGGCAAGATGAGGAGATGGGTGATGGTGACATGGGGAGATGGCGATGGGGTGTTTGGCGCTGGGTGATGCTGAGATGAGGAGATGAGTGATGGCTGACGGTGACACGAGAACACGGGCGCTGGGTGACGGTGACATGGGGAGATGGCGAGGGGGTGTTTGGCGCTGGGTGACGGTGACATGGGGAGATGGTGAGGGGGTGTTTGGCGCTGGGTGACGGTGACACGAGGCCACGGGCGCTGGGTGATGGTGACATGGGGAGATGGTGAGGGGGAGATGGGGAGATGGTGACAGGGACATGGGGAGATGGTGATGGGGACATGGGGAGATGGTGATGGGGACATGGGGAGATGGTGAGGAGGAGATGGGGAGATTGTGAGGGTGAGATGGGGAGATGGTGACAGGGACATGGGGAGATGATGATGGGGAGATGGTGAGGGGGTGTTCAGTGCTGGGTGACGGTGACGGGAAGATGGTGATGGGGAGATGGTGACATGGGGAGGTGTGGACGGGGTGTTTGGTGCTGGGTGATGCTGAGGTGAGGAGATGGTGACGGTGACATGGGGAGATGGTGACGGGGTGTTTGGAGGTGGGTGATGGTGACACAGGGAGATGGAGATGGTGACATGGGGAGATGGTAGCAGTGAGATGGGGAGATGGCGATGGGGTGTTTCGGGATAGGTGATGCTGAGATGAGGAGATGGGTGATGGCTGACGGTGACACGAGGCCACGGGCGCTGGGTGACGGTGACATGGGGAGATGGTGAGGGGGTGTTTGGCGCTGGCTGACGGTGACACGAGGCCTCCTGCCCACCCCTCAGCCCCTGAAGCCCTCCCTCAGCCGCGCCGCCACCACCACGTCCCCCCTGAGCTCGTAGGCGAGGCCGTGCCAGGCCAGCAGGGCGGGGGGCAGGCGCAGCCCCAGGTTCGCCGCCCGCACCTTCTCCGCCGGCAGCAGCGCGTCCCACATGTAGACGTCCCCCATCTCCCCGCAGAACGAGTTGTAGGGGTCGAAACCGCCCCCGAACCCGTCCTGCTCCTGCCCCAGCAGGATGGAGGCCGTGCCCCCCACCGTGTAGCCCTTCTGCAGCCCCTTCCTGGGCCAGGGCTTGCCGTCGAGCCAGAACTGGGCGATGCCCGTGGCCGACTCCCAGCCGGCGCAGACGTGCTGCCAGTCCCGGTGCCCGGCGCCGGGCACGTGGAAGGCGACGTGTTTGCCGCCCACGTAGAGCCGGAACTCCTCGGGCTTGGGCTTGAAGAGCAGGATCTCGTTGTCCTGGGCCTTGGTGGCGTAGGAGAAGAGGCCCTGGGGCCGCTGGAGGTGGCTGTAGGAGCGCAGGCAGACGGTGAAGTTGTGCAGGGGCCGCTCCGGCCTCGCCCGCAGCACCACGAAGGCGTCGCTGGGGTCGTTGCGGAACACGAAGACCTTCCTGGAGAGGTCTGGGAGGGGGAAGGAGGGGGCGGGGAA